CGGCTCTCACGCAACGCAAAACCAACTTAAGGTAAATTGTTCTCCTTGATGCTCTTGAGATACTCGGTCTCACTTTATCCGTCGGCGCCGTAAAATACGGCTGTGAGGACGGGATCTGAGTGATGGTTCTGATTCTGTTGAGCATTTGTAGTTTCTCGTGGCAGACGCTGCATTACAGGAATGACAACGCACAGTCCTCCCTGCTTTTCTTCTAGGACAATCAGCAAAAAAGATGGTTGGGGTCTGCACACATGTCACGTGCATGTGGAACGCTGGACATTCCTATCCCTGCCGCTGCACGTATACACGGTCGAGTATTGTCGTCCAGTGCTTGCTCTTTTGAAAATGAGCTGAGAGCCCAAGGAGCCGGTGTGGAATTATGGGTCCCAATTATGGTTTAATCCATAATAAATAGGATCGACGTTCGCAATTAGACTGGATTGGGATTCTTGTTCCCGTTGGTACAACTAGTCTAGGCCAGATTAACTAGGAGCCAATACTAATTACACTTTTTTACTTTAATGACTTGGTTTTAGTTGTGGCGACGTTACCGTTTTTAACGCAGGTAAATCTTACTTTTTTAACATCTGGTTCGAGTTGGAGTTAAGTTGATACCTCGCTGATAACACGCGCCAATTCGCTTGCTCATTGGCTTGGGGCTTAGCCAATCATCAACAAACGTCTTTTAAAAATGGAAAAAACCAAAAATAGGTACGTAAAACTACCACAACTACATTGGCACACTGGTCGGAGACAACACGCTTGCTGGTCGGAGAGACCCTGGGTCGAGCGTTTAACGTCTCCCGTGGAAGCAGTACTTACCAATTTGGCACTGGTAATACGAGCGGGTGGTGCGCCATCTCCGATAATCCGTACTTGTACTTAAGTATGGTGGGTTCGTTCCCGGGTCCAAAAGGTATTCGGCCACGTCGCGCTCAGGCGGACGCTTGAAGCCCAAGTACTCGAAGCGGACCTTGCGCGGGCCGTGGCACATCATCTCGCCGTCGTTCAGGATGGTCACCTCGTCGAACACCTCGAACACCTTCGGCGCCAGATGAAGCAGCGCAACCACCACGGTCTTCTGCATCTTATTGGTGACGCCGCGCTACGTCTTGTTGATATCGTACGATGTTGAACTATCCAGACCCGTGCTTGTGCGTCACGTATTCGAAGTACTTCATGCCGAATTCCATCTCGCCGGTGGTCACACACTTGTACTCGCTGCTCGTACTCAAGCGTCTCCTTCACCATTAGCGTAGGGGAGAGCTTGTAGCGCTGCTCCACGTAAGCCACAAGCTGCGGCAGGCGACGCATGATGTTGGCCTGTGGGCACACCACATCGCCCGCGACCGTCACGACCTTCTCCAACACAAAGCGGCCGCTCAGCGCCTTCATCTGCGACGTCTTGCTAAAGCCGGGCTGGTCCGACACTAGCGCGATGGAGCCCGGTTTGATCACGCCGCTAACGTAGCGCAGGATCTCCTTACCGCCACGAGCTTCGTAGCCGACAGCTTGGCGTGGGTCGTCTTGGCAACATTGTCGGCAGCACCACCTTGTTCTCGTCTTCCTCCGTCGCCACCACGTCGGCGTAGATAGATGGACGGCTGAAGCGCGCTTCTACGAACGTGGCGTGGACATGTAGTCCAAAGCTCTGCGTCGCCAGAAATATGCTGCGATAAAACCAGTTTGTGACTGAAGCACCAGAATTTACTTTTCAAAACGCTACGGTGTAATACGATAAAACTACAAATACAGCCCCGTGTTATTGCGTAGTTAATCCAACTAACTTAGCTCAGATAACGTTATTTGCTAGTTAACGATATAACGATAACGTCGCCACCACTACTTTGAATCAGGACTGTTGCCCCGTCGTTGTCAAATGATATACATTATTAACTCGACCGAGAGAGCTTTCTTTGAAATGCAAATGATTGTGATTCTCGCATATCTATACCACATGTTGACACCCAATAGGATGGGTATTGTTTACTGAATCCTTTTTGGGTTTAGTGGCAACCTATGACGCTTTCTTGGGTGTAAACAAAACGAGATAGGGACCCTATCTCGTTTTGTTTACACCCAAGAAAGCGTCTGTTGGGACCCCGGTCTCGTATTGCTGCAGTAATAAAAACATTTACTGTAGCATTAGTAACGTTTACACTGTGCATCAGCCTGATTGGAACGGGTAAACATTTCTAAACTCTCCTAAATCAGACACTGTACAACTTCCAGTATTTAGTATACGGAATCGCCTTAGGACGGTAAGGATGCCGATGTCGTGTGTCGCGTGCTACAAGGGGGTGGGGGGGGGGGGGGGGGGGACGCAAAGTGGATTAACCATTGCTGTCTGGTCCATTGCCTTGTACTGTTAGAACGAACCAGTACAGCAATCTAGATGACTCGTTCTGACGTTCGTCAAGGGGCAAATACTTAGTCCACTTGAGTGAGCTGCTTACAAGGTCACTGTTAACACTGCCGGTTATGCAATAACGAACCGCAACTCTCTATACGAACTTTCTCTTTTTTGTTTTTGCAGATCTGAATGTATGACTGAAGCTATAAATGGTTGTAATACAAAAAAAAATACCCAAAGTTCGTGGATGTCCCACAAGTGCTGGAAAATTTTGTTATTAATAGATGAGAGTGGCTGGAGGAATCACGAGCGGGAGGCGGGAAGCAAGGCCCCTCGGTGTTTGCATAGGAGCCAATGACGCACAGACCACAAACAGACCAGTTGCACTCTCCAGTACATGCGTTGGACTCTTAAACTTTTGCGGTCTTTCAAAACAAAAAAACATTATAAAAGACGATGAAGTGTTGGTTCTTTACTTAGTTGTGTATGATTGACACTATTTTTTTTTCAATTACTTATTGTTGTCAAGGCAAAACCCCTTGTGCAGAGCCAGCAGATGCTGTGGCAACGAAATAGGCGCAAGAAAAGCCCAAAA